CACGTGGATGTGCAAGGCCCTTGCTACCGTGAGAGGCAATATTAAGTATCTTCTGTAGTCTGCACTACCACAGGAGGCCATATTAATTGTATCTGTGGTCCAGGTTGTTGCCAGAGGCCATTTTGATGTGAGTGGCCTATAATGGCCATGTTGGGATCCATGGTGTGTGTGTGTGTGTGTGTGTGTGTGTTGATGTCCGTGACCCATGTTACCACTGAAGGCCATGCACATGTCAGTGGTACATGCCACTGCCTGATACCATGTTAATGGTCATAGTCTGTGCTGCTGCAGAGGGCTATGATGGAATCTATGGCCCACACTGAGGCAGAGGGCAGTGTTGGTGCCCACGGTCTGTGCTGCCACCAGAGACCATGTGGATGCCTGTGGTCTGTGCTGCCACCAGAGACCATGTGGATGCCTGTGGTCTGTGCTGCCACCAGAGACCATGTGGAAGTCCATGATCCAATCTGCTCCCAATGACTGTTTACAGTAACAAGAAAGCTACTTTTTTGCAGTGGCATCAATGACTGAAGACTCACAGTTGAGAAAGAGGGAAAGAGAAGGCTCCTGGGACAACCCCTATGCCACCCCCCAAAAAGTAACAGCCTAGACAGAAAGCCATTGAAGAGAGCTCTTAAAAACTGTGATAAGGATGCTGAAGTATAGCTCTCCACAACCGATGGCTTCTGGTGGGGTGCAGGTGGGGAAGGACTCGGTTCTCTTTTTCTTTTATAAGACAGGGTTTCTCTAACAGCACTGGCTGTCCTGGAATTCACTTTGTAGAACAGGCTGGCCCTCCAAGTGCTGGGATTACAGATGTGCACCACCACAGCCCAGCTGGACTGTTTTCTTTAAGGGGCTAGCTACTGGGAGTTTGACCATGCTCCAGTGAGTATATAGGCAACAAAAAATTGGACTTTTGGTTTTGTTTTGTTTTTTTTTACTTTTTCTCATTTTTCTTTTTACCATTTTTGTCTTTTTTTATTTTTCTTCTTTTTTGGGTGGGGTGTCACATGGGTGGGGGAGGACCTGGGAGGACTGAAAAGTAAGTGTGATGGGGTACATGATGTGAAATTCCCAAATAATCAATAAAAATATTAAGTTGTAAAACGTTAATATAGCAATCGCCATTTCTGCTAAGTAGTGAGTAGTATCCATGTACTGACACTGAACCAAATGTTTTGTTCCTTTCTAATCCTCAGAACAACTCGAGGACAAGTATGCTTACCTAACGTTACAAGTAAGGGGACGAAGGATTTGAGGAGCAGAGAAATGAATCCAAACCCTCCCGGGTCTGTGTAACCCACAGCCCTCCATCACTCTACAGCACCAATGCTGCCGCCGGCCCCCAGGCCCCGAATCTGGAACTCTGAGTGAGAACACAGCTCTGCCCCGCAGGCGCCACTGCTGCTGGAGGGCTTTAAAACGCTCATCGGTAGTTTGTACTCCTGAATATCCCATCTCTCCCTAAACCCACACTACCTCCTGCAACAAAATATCCAGGTTCATCAGCTTGGGTCCATCCCCACATGCCCTAAGGTTGCTCGAACCTAGATATCTAGCCGATACCACAGGCATTCTGGGAATTATGCAACTGAGAGTGGACTAATCTCTCTCTTCTAAACGCTTCTGGCTTACAGTGACTTTTACAAAGACAGGAAGGAAATCTCTGAACTGTCCTTCCCTCACTGAATTCCACATTTATTTATTATTTATTATTCCACATGCATTTATTCCACATTTTAAAACACAGTTATATGCTGGGTGGTGGTGGTGCACACCTTTAATACCAGCACTTGGGAGGCAGAGGCAGGTAAATCTCTGTGAGTTCAAAGCCTGGACCACAGAGTGAGTTTCTGGACAGTCAGGGCTACACAGAGAAACCTTGTCTCAAAAAAAAAAAAAAAAAAAAATTACATATTGAATCTTCCATGAGCCTAGCATCATACTAAACCTAGAGTTGTCCAATACATCCTATAAAGAGTAAAATTAGGCTTCTAAATTAAGTAAAAAAGAATCTAATTTTAATAATATGATCTCATCTTCAAAGACCATAACTAAAACACTAAAAACTATGTAGATTAAAATACAATGCCTCAGAATGGGAAAAAACTCACAGGGTCCTCACCCTAGACAAAAAATTATAGGCAATTGGTAACAACTGAGAGAGGAAGAATTAGCCTCCTTCAGGGATGAACTCCTTAACTGGTTATTCCAATACAAAGTGGTCAGCCCTAAAACTATATACATACAAACAGCAAAAACAAACTCAGCAGGTTGTATTTATATATTTGTGTATACTTAAACATACATATACATGCTATGTAACAATAATAATCAAATAAAAAGAATATATCAATTTGATTTTTTTCTTTTTTGAGAGTGTGATTATATCCTAATCTCAAAATAAGAGAAGTAATTTAAAATATCCTTATGATTGCTGTTTGTATGATGTATCTTTTCCTATCCTTTTACATTTAAACTCACTGTCCTTCTGAATCTAAACTGTAGAGAGCACACACTAGAAACATTCTTGTTTAAATCCAGCTTTGCTTCCTCTGCCTTTGACTAGGCTGTCCCATCCCTTCACACTTTACTTTAGTATTGGGCAGTTGAGTTATACCTGCCATCTTATACTCTATGTGCATCATGTTTTCTCACTCCTTTATTTGAAGTATGTTTGCAACCTAGCAGCTGAGAATTCTTTTGTGACCTCAGCAAGTGAGTTTTAGGGTAACAGGTAAGACCAGGAGATAAGGGATGGGAGGGCAGAGACAGTGAGGACAGAAAATCCTGTGAAGGACAAATGGGGAGACGAATTGGCAGTTTAAAAGGAAAAGTCTCTGTTTAGACAAGAGATTATGGCACGGGTTTCTGCCTAAAGGGATTTATTCAATAAAGAAGGGGAAATTAAAATGGAGAAGAAGGGAAACATAGCCCCAGAAGAACAAGGTTGTTGGGGATGCAACAGAGATTGGCCTCGCCATTAGCTTTTCCCAAAGGGTAACTTTTGAGCTAGATCCTTATGGAAAACGGCAAGGTGGGTAAGGGTAATCAGAGCAAGCACAAAGAGACCTTACTATGAGAAAGTTATGGGGCAGAAAAACAGAGAAGCAGACTAGGGAGAAGTCAGATGTGAGCTGTGGGCTGGCCAACCTCAGTATGAGAGGAGTGAGTACCTCCTTGTGAAGCCCTCCACAGCCTGGAGTACACGCATGCCCCTGCACCAGATAGAACAAATACATACATTTATGAAACCGATAATAAGTCACACTTCCTTGTGTGAAAATACAACTCAACACCTGTTTCTAAAGGTCAACAAGCAGAAAAGGCCTTGTTTGCTTTACGGCTTTAAGAATCATCAGCCCATTTGTGCAAGTATTTGTCTTGTTTCCATCTTACCTTGCTCATAAATCTGAACTACGTGATGAATGGCACCTAACTGGTAGTTGGTCAGCCCACCTGAACAACTGGATAGACCCAAAGACTACCACTTGAAGCATGACTGTACGAGACAACAGAGAACTTGGGGTATTTGTATTTTAAAGATAGGTTTGAAATATCTATAATTATTTCAAATTATTTTTACTACAGCTCAAAATGCTTTATTTAAAAACCTTAAAAATTATAGTAAATTCAAGATCTCTGTTTTCCTATTTAAAAGTGCCGGAGCAAATCCAGTGTGTTTCTGATGTGCAGAATGTGCAGATAACTTTCGCTTTCTTTGTATCCACTTGGCATGGAGCATCAAAACTCTCAAGCTTTATATCATGCCCAGGGCAAGTCTCCTGTTTTGTTAAATTAAAAGCTGTACTTGGGTTAAGGAATCAATAAAATGTCAATGCCTATATGGCAGAAACCCAGAAGACCCAAGAGACTGGTATGGAACATTTGCAAAGCAGAGAGAGCCAAGCTGGATGGCAAAAGGTCGACGTCTACCACTTCCCTGAGCTGCAGGATACCTTTTCAAAGCCACAAGTTCCTTCCAAATTAATCAGCTCACCAACCCAAAATGAAAAGCAGTTCTACAAGGAGCCAGCCTCATCACTGATGTATTGTGAATGGCACATGCTACCATTAACTAAAGCAGGGCAACTGCCTCTGTGAACCAGTCTGTGCCACTATTTCTAGCCCCAAGGCCCAATTAATTCATAGGACACATACAATTCATTCTAAATTCCTAAACATGCTCTGTGCTTTAAATAACATAATAAATAAACTATGAATCATTTTGTACCAACTATAAAACCAAGAAGCTTGGGTAATCCTAGATGGGTAATACATCATAAAAACTTTAATTCTGAGAGCTGGGACTAGAAAGGCTTTGTATTATTATACTCTAGAAATTGGTGTGAGAATGATATACAGGCATTTACAAAGCATGCTTAGGTTTTATATACAAGTATTATAATGTAATCTTAAACATCACATCTAATTATACTGTATTTTATTTCATTACAACATTTCAGAAAACAAAGGACTAAATTCTGAGTCTACTTACAAACTAATCACCAAAAGCCCTTAATAAACATGATGCTATCCTTATTCCCAAATCAGATTGCCATGACTAACACTCACTTCTAAGTAGTACTGTGATCTGAGGTTAGAAGCTGACCTTTCCACCAGTTACATGCCTCCATTAGGCTTGTTCAAGCCAGGTTTCCTAAGAGAAAGCATGCAGGGAATGAACTGGTGTGGGGCAGAAGGCTCCCAGAAGGAGCAGAGAGCACATAGAGTCTCTGGCATATAGTGAATATATAGCTGTGGAGAGTGGATAGATACTTTCAGACAGGAACACATAAAGGTGGCACTTTATGATCGAAACGTAGATACTGAGAACTACACCACAACAGGAAGGATGGAAACATCTGTGACTCTGCAGGACCAGACACTGAGAACTCAGGTAAAACCAAGTCTCAGGCCTCCCACAGGGCCATCCTGACTGGCAAGCCGGCAGGCTCAAAGTGCTGGTCTGGCTGGACACTTCCTGAAGGCAGTACCTGGTCCAATCTGTCTTTCCAGGTCTGGAATCCATCTACAGCTGCTGGCCAGGTCGGGGTTAGTCTCATTGCCTGCAACCAAGTGGGCAGGCTGTATGGACCATCATAACCGGATGGCTCCTTGCTTGTATCCCGAGGGTGCTACAGCTCCTCCTCCCTCTGGCCCTTTGTGGGGATGGCCCCTGAACTAAATCCTAGCCACTTGACGAGAATGGAGGCTGAAGGCAGCTGTGAGCTGGAAATTGTCTTTGATTGGCAAAGAATCCATGGGGAGCACAAAGTGGCACTACCTTCCTGGCTGCAGGGTCCTGCTCTCATGTGACTCCTGAGAGGTACAGCACTGCCAGCCTGCTCACCTCCATGTGTAATTAACATTCTTCATTCTCAGCTGTGATGATTTTGCCAAGTCATAAAGGGCTGCAGGAGAGCTGGTACAGGCTGCTTTCCCTAGCTATCTCAGGAAATACTGCTTGCATGGCCCACAGGTGGGCCAGAGCAAGATAAAGAGCTATCGTTTGCTGATGTGCTAACCAAGGCACACAGGCACACTCCAAAGGGCAGGCAGTAGCAACACCCCTTCGCAAAGGGACCAGTGCTGTGGATATCGCTCTGTATAAATAAACACTGATTGGCCAGTAGCCAGACAGGAAGTATAGGTGGGACTAACAGAGAGGAGAATTGAGGGAACAGGAAGGCAGAGGGGGAGACTGCTGGAGCTGCCGCCAGGACAAGGAAGATGTAAGGTACCAATAAGCCACAAGCCACGTGACAAAGTATAGATTAATAAAAATGGGTTAACTATAAGAGTAACAGCTAGACAATGATAGGCCTGAGCTAATGGCCAAGCAGTTTAAATAATATAAGCGTCTGTGCATTTATTTTATAAGTGGGCTGTCAGACTCCCGGGGCTTGGCGGGCACCGGAGAGAAAACTCCATCTACAGACCAGTTGTTAGAAGGCAGATGTTGGAGACTGTGTGTGCGTTCATGGATATAAAACAAGGAAGTGAGGTGCTGCGGATGCTGAAGAAACTGGCGGGTGGCCTGGCCCCACTGATTTGTAATAGACCGTAAGTTGATGCTCCCGGTGATAAACTATGTTCACTGCTACCTCATGTCCCTGCCCTATTCATAAGCAAGTGTACTGTACTTCCATTGTAAGTCAAATACAAATGTGTGACATAAAAGGACATCAATACTTCAGTACCACCACTAGGACTCTCTTACATCCTGCTATCACCCCAAAATTTAACATTTCCAAAAACCCTTTGCAAGGTCAGTCTGTGGCTTATGCTATTAGAGATGTGCATCGAAAATTAAATTAGCAAAAAGTTGTTTTTTTTATCTAATTTCATGCATTTTCTCCCCTCTCCCAACCCAAATATGATGTAAAATTCACTCAGGTTTACTGGAAGCTATAGTGGCAAAACAGAAACCACATTTTGTCTCTGGAAAAAGCTGGAGTTTTAGCTGAATCATGTTTTATTCCAATTATAAATTTTTTAAACTAATTTAGTTTTGCTTTTGAAAGCATTGCTGTAGAATAGTTTTTAATTTAATAAGATTATAACTTTAGAATAAGCTAGGGCGAAGAATAAGAAAAAAATCAGCCTTCTGCATTGTACTAGCCCTTGCAGCCCATTATGGTCTGACAAAATTAGAAGGTTCTTTGATCTATAAAATGTAATGGATTTTCTTTATAAATTAATTTTGCTTTATAAATTAAGAAAGAAGAAAATTCCTGAGAAAATGAAGTGTGGAGAGTAAAATCATGATCAAGAAAAATCTACAGTTATTCACAGTACTCAAGAACCAAGAGGGATACAGCCCTTATGTAGACTCCCCAAGCCACATAGTGGTTTAGGAAGCTCGGCCCCTTTCAGGGATGGCTGAGGTTACATTTCAGAGGTTAAATAACTGACCCTGGCAGGTATGTTTGTCCCCATCCCTGTCCAGCTCCATGTGGCTGATAACCGGCCCCCGCCGCCCTTCTCAGACCAAGGCCGCCAATCGCCTTCTGGGTGATAACATCAGGCTCTGGCAACAGATGCTGGCTGGGCAGTGCAGTGGGTTTCTTCCTCCCCTCCCTGAAAGGGGTGGGAGAGGGTCACCAGCAGAGACTGCATCCCCTCTGGGTTCCCATGGCCCCTATCTCTAGGACCATCTGCTCTTTATGGCCATATCATGGGATAGAGGCAATTTTCTGCAGTTTACAACCTCTGGCGACTTCAGCATCCATCTGACCACTTGGTTCTTCCATCACTGCACATTCCCCTTGATGACAGCCTCTGTTTCTAATACTATTTTCTAGTTGGGTGGCTGCAATGACTAAGTGCTCAAAGCTCTAGTTGCCAGGTGCAAAGTCAGATCCTACACTACCATTCTGACTTCAGTTCTGCAGATCCCCTTTACTGGCTGTGTGGTCTTAGGAGAACCCTTCTCAAAACATCAACAACCAGTCTCATAAAATGAGGAAAGTAACTACTCTGCCAGGTTTAGAAAGGCAGGCGGAGATATTATAAAGGCTGTGTCTGAATTTTCTTTCTATTGCTATGATAAGGGCTATGACCAAAAGCTACATGAGGAGGCAAGGCTTCTTTCTGTCAGCCTATAGTTCATCATGAAGAGAAGTACAGCCAGGAATCTAGAAGCAGGAACTGAAGCAAAGATCATGAAGAAGTGCTGCTTACTGGATTACTAGCCTGCATTCTTATACAACCCAAGGCAACCTGCCCAGGGATGGCACTACCCAGAGTGGACTAGGCCCTCCCACCCACAACAATAATTCATCAAGGAAATGCCCCACGGGCTGCTTACAGGCCAACCAGATGGAGGCATTTTCTCAATGGAGGTAGCATCTTCCCAGATGACTCTAGATTTCATCAAGTTGACAGAACTGTTGGAGCCCATCTGGGTTTCCTGGTTGCTGTGCCCAGCAGGTCTGTATAAAGAAGAGGACTGGACCATGAGCCTGAGTATCAGGTGCTTGAAAGGGTCTACACTTGGCTGTATCTCGCAAGGGGGAGGTCTTTGCTCCTCCCCTTGGCATTGTGATAAAAAAGCCCTTTGGAATAAAGTTCTGGACTGGTGGGTTCCGACCCAGGCCCTCGGGAGACTACCCTTTGTTTCTGTCTTTCCTCTCGTCATCTAGGTATCTCTTTCTAGCTAATTATTTCTTAATTCTCCCTACTCAAGAGTACCCTGGGTCATAAAAGTGGTGGCTGGTCCACCACACAGAACTAACCAACACAGATGTACAAGTTCTCAAGACTCATCTACCAGAATTAGCTATGCAGTGAGAAAGAAGGTAGTTTACTTGAAATCAGCATTCAAGCTAATCTAATGGGTATTAACAACACAGCCACCGGCAAAAGCTTCATGTTTTATTTACTAACACTTGGCTCTTTTACTGTTAAGTAGGAAGTTGGGTGGCCAGTGGTCTCCAACATCCCTTGCTGAAGCAGAGCTGAGGGAACTCGCCATATCTTAACAGAGCACCTTGGCTGGTGTTTGGCTTCTGTTTCACTAGGGCCAGAGTAACTAGCCCTGAACACAGACTAAAGTAATGGTGCCTTTGCCTAGGACTGCTGTCTAGTGTCAAACAGAACACAAAACATTTTCACTAAAATCGTGATGATCTGAATGTAGGTTAAGTGTAATCAACATGGTCTACAACCAATCCTCCTCATCATCATCCTATTCTGTGATGCATCTTGCCAGAGCCTGACCAGAGCTCTCTTTCCTACCTGTATCACTTCCAGTACATTCAAAGACCAAATAATCATCACCACACAGGGATGCTCCCCACACCCTGCCCCTGCCACCACATCTATTTTCTTTCTGTTATTTCTAGTCTGTCTCTAACACCTAGAACCCTTAGTCCCAGTATTACTCCTAATTTTATCATACTGTAAGAGAAAAAAATATGCAAATTAATCATGATTTTACACAATAATGGGCTTATAAACCTTACGCCTTGATTTCCGATCCTAACTTTAGATGCTACTGTTTATTACAGTTAGGACATGTGTACTCACGAGGAACACTTGAATTGTCTTTGGTATAGGGATACTTGCTCCACAGATGGTGATGGGAGGGTGAAAGGATATCCTATAGATCAACTGCACCCAAAAGAATTGTTACACTTTTTTAAAATTATAAAAAGTGAAATATATACTTGTATAAAGATTTTTAATAAAAAAAAAAACAAATGAAATAAACTTTAGTAATTTATCTATCCCCAAATATCCAAATCACCATCATTTCAACATGTAATCAACATAAAAATAGTTGAAATAATCTGCTTTCTTGTTTTATGTTACATCCATCACCTTTCTCAATATGGGCTAAGTTCCTTTCCCTGATCAACAGACACAGGGAGCCAATGGCTACCATACCAGGTAGTGCAGGTCAGGACGCCAGGCTTCTCAAGGTCAACAACTGTTCTAACTAAATTCTAAATCTCCCTGGTATTTCTAGGATGATGCTTTGCATAAAGCAAACCTCAGCAAATGGTCACTGGTCTTAGGAGTAACTAGCTGGAAAGAAAGGTTTATAAAGGTTGGTGAGGCCACGCTGTAGTTTTTGGAAGAAACATCAGTTTTCCAAGTCTTATACCTTGAAAGTCACAAAGAGTTTTAAAAATTATTTTAAAATACAAAAATATAAATGAAAAAAAAATCATTAAAAAAAATTCTAATACCTAAAATTATTCCAAAAGCCACACCAAACACAGGGAAAGCAAGATAAACTAGAGATATATGGGGCGGGTATGGGGAGGTGAGAGAGAAGAAACAGAGACAGGGCAACAGAGAAAGAGATCTGAGATTTGTTTGATCAAAACCCAATCTCAGATCATAATAAATGACCAGAAAGAACCACCCAAAACCACTTCAATGACCACTTCTGCTTGATACTATACAAGAAGCTTGAGTACTCTATGATAAAGCACTTAAAGCTATCAGCTAAGTTATAGAAATGATCCCTGTCTACTAAAGGGAGGTGAAGTCAACAAACTCCATCCTATGCAAGAAAGGACACCCTCTGGCAGGAGTAATCACTTGTTTTTTCTAAACTACAGTGAAAAATATCCTCATTTAACTAAAATTTTCTTTATTCAACCTAGAAGAACTTTCGTCAGCTCCCATGACAAATCTACAGTTGTGTGACTGCTAACAAATTACCAAGGTCCAGCTATTTATTTCAGGTTCTGTCATCAAAAATTCGTACAACACACACAGC